AGCAGAAGGGGTGAAAGAGGGGGGAGGAGGTGGACTGTAGGGAATAGGTGTGCTGGGAGGAGGGGGCAGCAGTGACCACACAGGTCAGACAGGTTGTGTGATGGGAGGGGGAAGGGAGGTCAGGGAGGGTTTTTGTCACCAGGATCTGATGCAGACCAGGATCTGGATCAGGATCAGACAAAGTGAGCTGAACTCTAATCGGTTTCTGCTCTGACTATTATGGCTTTGGTAAATTTAGGATTTATTCCCATTTTATAGCACTGATTCACAACAGCAGCCATCATGGAGCACTTTTACAGCAGTTTTCCAGAGCAGGTTTGCTCATTTCAGTTTAGTTTTTGTTGTTTGAAGTTTGGTCTTAGTCTTTTTTCATTATTAATGGCACATGCTTGATGCAATATTTTGGAGAAATAAATGATGGTAAGTACAACTAACTTTTCAAAATCAGTTCACTCGAGGTCTCGTAGACATCAAAGTCTAACTAAACGCATCTGTTAAAGCCTCATCAGGCAAGCTGTGATGACAGATTTCACTGAACTGACAAATGCTAAAACTAAGAACTTTTTCTCTATATTTTATTTTATTTTAGTTTCCCAAAGTTCATGGAATTTTTTTAGTCAGCTTTAATTTTTATTTTAACTGAATATAAAATACTTTCCGCTACTAGTTTTAGTTAACTTTAATAACCCTGTATATCACCATTTCTATGTAAAAAGATTGGTGCAAACATTTACGTTTCCTCCACTGGATGTGTTCTTGGGGTTTGGCACTTGCTTCACCCCATGAAAGCACCATCTCATTTTACTCTGACATCATTGTCCTCATTCAGGTTATCTTAAACCTCTTCTTAAAGCTTTCCAACAGCAGTCCGTCTAAAGGCAGCTTTTGGAGCTCTTTCACTGGGAATCCTTAAAATGAATCTGAGCAACCTTAGCCATGTTATCTTAATTTCGAGTTGCAGCTTTTCATCTTCCAAAGGTTGTTGCCAGAGATCTCTTTTTTTTTTTTTTAGCTTGTAGAGCCTTCTAAGACAGCTGTAGAAGGCAGTTTTGATCAAACAGTTTGACTTGTATGGTAGTCTTGGCGCAATGGTGCCGTTTCAGAGCTAGAGCATATTGTTTTGACTTCCAGATGTTATAGAGCCACACCTCTGGCTTTGTTAAGTCTTGGCTTGATGTTTTCCTGACTGCTAGTCAGGTCGAGTCGAGTTCTTCAGCATTCCTCTGAATCACTGAGTGGGTTGGCATGTAGATGAACATCACTTTGGCCATCTTTTGGCTGATATATACAGTGGGGCAAAAAAGTATTTAGTCAGCCACCGATTGTGCAAGTTCCCCCACTTAAAATGATGACAGAGGTCAGTAATTTGCACCAGA